GCCAACTGGTTTGCCTCCGGCCAGTTGGGGTTCTTAATGATGTTCTTAATGATATTATGTTCAATTTAGACCATTTGTTTCATTTGTTTGCAAGGACCACAATGGAAACTACTGGTTCACCAGTAATTGTGTAATCCTATAAAAAGACTTTTTTTGTTGTTGTTGTTGCCTTTATGCCATCTAGACAGTGAAGCCTTAATACCAAATGTTTCTTTAATAACCCTGTTGAGTACACATGGTAACTATAGACTCTTGGTAATATGAAGAACTTCATAAAATTAAAAAATGCTTGGATTTTAAAACTGAATCTCTTTCATAAAACTGGCTCGTACCATACCTAAACTTACAACAGACATAAAACACCTTGACCCAATGATATTTCTTCTGATGATCAAGCCAATTTTTATCTACTGTAAAGGATTATTTTATGATGAGAAGTTTGAAGTTTGTTATGTGACATCCCTTGGAACAAAAAGAGGTGGGTGTGGAAGGGAAGGAATGAACTTTGTTTTCAGATCAGCTGCCATGCTGGCAATTTCTTCATCCTCGTTTTCAAACAACTTGATGGCATGAGTGAATGTAAGAGAACCTAAAGAAAAATCAAATTAATAAACCATTTAGTTGACTTATTTTAAATTGTATTCTGAGTAATATCAAATCAAACAGTCATTGTTTGATTTCTTTTCTAGCATAAAATGCGTAGAAATACCATAGTTCTAAAAAAAAGCAAATTAATTACAGCAAAGTTGATTTTTGCATCTCTGTTTATAATAACTTCATTTGCCTAAATAATAAGATAATAATAATAATAATAATAATAATAATAATAATACAGACAGATAACAATAGAAATAACATCGAGATGCAAAAAGGCAAAAAGGGTCAAGCCAGAGAGGAACTAAATTCTCATTGACGGCAGCCCCCAGAATAAAATAATTGTGGTAAGTGACACTCAAAATGAAAGTAACTCACTGCTCTGAGAACTCACCATTAGTTTGAACCGATGGGACAGACCATCCAATTTAAAGGTGAACTGACCTTTTTTCTAGAAGTTCTCTACACTTTAATTAGCACTTCCTGTAGATTAGTGCTTAAGATTCAGGATTGAGTGACCTGGCCGGCAGTTTCTTTTTATGGATGATCCAGTGAATGCCATTTCTGGCAACCAGGAGGTAAGGGTGAAAAAGACTAAGTGGTGAAAGGGTAACAGGAGAAAGTGCATTTTTTCCTTTCCCATTTCTCTGCTATCTCCCATTTCCCAGGATGTCAAAACAAAGTTACCTTGATCTCCATCATCAGAGAAGCCATGACACTTTATCACCTCTTTTTGAATTTCTGCAGCAAATGGCAGTCGTTCTTGAAGGAGCTTTACCAAATCACTACCAGCCTCTTGTTCAATTTCTTGTATTTTAGCTTTGTTTTGTGGCTTGTCAAATGCTTCTAAAATTTCTTTCATGGCAGCTGAATCACATGGATAACACAAAGGTTTAGAATAATGATACCTAGATACTCACCAGACTTCCCCCTCTACCCAAGGAACAGTCCTTGAGATGTAGGAGTATTGGTCGAAATAGTGGGAGTGTTATGTTACCGATTATTATCCAACTGTGCTTCGTAGAGTACAAATAAGACGCGAGACGAATACAAATATCACGCCATAATTGTACGCGATATTTGTACTCGTTGTTTGTATTTTGACTCGCCCTACGGGCTCGCAAAAATACGGCACAACTCGTAAAAATACTCAGCGATACTACACAACAAAACTAATAAGATACACTTATTTCATCTGGGTAAAAGAGGAAGCCAGAACCTCAATCTCTAGCAGGAAGTGGTACTCGTTATGACGAAGACTGAGACGAAAACGTGGATTCTTATTAAGTAAATAATTTCGGAAAAAAAAACTTCCCCACGATGAGTAAAGTTGTGATACTAAATGCTAAGCATAGCTGATCCTTGCACTTAAACACTAAAGCTTTATATCCCAGCATATACAAAGCCCTCAGTCTCTACCTGTTTCCTTCTTGCTCAACTTCGCTTGGTTTTGGAAAGTCCCACCTTGATTATTTAAACCTACCCCTCAAATCGGACAAAATTAAAACATCCTGACACCATTTCTGAACGTTTCTGATCATTATGGAAAGTATTTTACACAGTTAACTGGGACGTAAACAAGCAACAAACAAAAGCTGATCAGAGGTCATCTGGAGCAACACATCTCATTTACAGCTCTGAAAGATTGTGCTGATGCAAACAAAACGTCGTGTTATGAATGTATCACCTTTAACTTGTTCCACTGTCACGTTTGACAACCGATTTTGAGCCATCGTCAGCGAAACTCCCACTTGAAGTAAGTTCCTTGGGCGTTTAATAAGGAGTGATCACCCAAAGTAGCCTATCGGTTTCCTTCATTACGTCACTTCCGGTATGGAAACCTATAAAGTGCGCGGTGCCTCAAGTTTAAGATTGTATCGAATAGTGAGCCATGGCAAGTAGGTCAGTAAGCCTCTCTCATAATTAATAGCAATTCTTATTTACGGCAGTGGACTTGCTTTATAATTTTCAATTTTTTTCGCTCGTGTTTCAGCTCGCAGACCATAAAATGTTCTCATCATCCCGAGGCACCCTTGATAGAAGATTATCGAGCAGGAGACATGATTTGCTCCGAATGCGGTCTTGTTGTCGGAGATCGGTAAGCTTATATAATATGATAAAAATCAATTAATATCTATAAAAGTCAATTAATATCTATATTTTTGTCACTCTCTATGAAATTTATAGATTCCTTTTTACTTCCTTCATTTCTCAAAGCGATTGAGTGATTGATAGAACCTTTGCTGTTGATGTTGAATAAACAGAAACATGTCTACTCGTGAGGATCTTATCAGATCAGTTTGAGAAAAGACTCATACTTCGAAATCTGTTCCTTCGTTTCGTTGCTATCTTCTGCTTTCATATGTATCTTGTTACATAACTAGAAAATATTTTAAAACTTCCTCCAAGTTATACGGCGTTTTTGTTGAAACTGAAGAAAGTTCTGCCAGGGGGTTAATATCGATTCAAGTAAATTTCCAGTGTAGAAGCATATGACCTGGTGTTATGCTGACGTCATCTACCATAGAAGGAAGTTACAGAAAATTAAAATAAGAAAGGGACCTGCTTGGATTGATTCCACTCTTATATTGGAATATTGTTTTTCAAAGCAGTAGAAGCTGGTGCCTCTTTATCACATCTTATTGGATCTTAAGAATATACTCTCATTTTTTTTCTGTCATTTCATCATTAAGCATGCCATCAACTCAGACCTTGATGATTCTGTGCAGAATAGTTTCTCCTGGTCAGTTGATTTACAACCCAGAAAAATTATGTAATTTCTCATTTAAATGCAGTATGACTTTAGAAACAAAAATCTTTCATTATTTTATTGTAGATTTTTTCAATTCTTAATTTGATTCTGATAACCATGAAAGTGAAGCACAGTTGCTAGATAATCACCTGGATCTTCCTGATTATTAACAATTATCTCTCAAACTTTGTGGTTTTACAAGAGACCAGTGCTGTACCTATAACAAAGGGATGTGTACATTACAAAAATAATTTAAATTTGATCTCTATATTTGGTTTTATTTTCTTCTTTTATGTAGAGTGGTAGATGTTGGCTCAGAGTGGCGAACGTTCAGTAACGAGAAGGCCACTAGTGATCCTTCTCGTGTTGGAGCAGCACAGGTAAGATATTTTTTCTTTTTAAATCACAAAACAATGATGGTGCAATGATTTGTGAGTGGCATATTATTTTATTACTATTTCTATATTTGTTGTCTGGGTGCTTAAGACAGTTTTAGAGGTTTCAATAAGAGGTGGCAGCTGACAAAATTTATTGTTCAAGACAAGAAAAATAAATAAATGAAATAAATGAGAGTAAAAGTCAAACCTCAAGCATTAGAAGCCAAGTAGAGCAAAACCAAAGTAATACTGCATAGATTTTGATACTAAATTGACAATTGATTTTATTCACTGTATGTCTCTATTTAGAATCCATTATTAGGTGGTGGAGACCTCTCAACAATAATTGAAAGAGTCCCAGTGGGAAACAGTGAAACAGATGGATACTCTAAATATCACAATCGAGGCGGAGTGAGTTGCACTGATAGGAGTGTAGCCGGCCTATAGGCCCATAGGCCTGGGCCTACCATTCATTTTCCACCTGCTTGACTTTTTTTAATATGACTCTTGCTAATGTTGAAACGAAATTGGGATTTCTTATGGGATCAGGCATACAACAAGTCGAAAAGCTGGCTATGTCCCTCTCTCAGGGTTCGTATGTGTCTTGAAAACCCTTGAAAACCCTTGAATTTCAGGAGGCCGATTTCAAGGCCTTGAAAGTACTTGAATTTCGTTTTGGGTCCTTGAAAGTCCTTGATTTTTTATTGAAGAACATTGAAAAATATCTGCTTTTGTTTTGCACCATCAGTAAACCCAAAACATAGATGTTAACAGAAACATTTTTCTTGGTTTTGAGGTAAAATTGTCATTACAAAAATTCCTTGAAATTTCTAAGTAGGGTCTTGGAAAGTCCTTGAAAAGTCCTTGAATCTTTAGCCTGAAAAAGTGTACAAACCCTGCTCTCTGAAATTACAAGGAAAAGTGAATTTTCACTCACAATACCTTCTTTAAGGTTCAGCTAAACAGTTAAGGGCAGTTGAAGCACAATGATATGTCTACCGTGTTCTTTTAATCCTTTTTTTTTTTGTTTTGTTTTGTTTCTTTCTTCTGTTTTTTTTTTTTAATTCAGTTGACTGGTTCGGACAGAAGTCTCATGAATGCTTTTAGAGAAATTGGAGTAATGGCTGACAGGATAAATCTTCCCAGGAAAATAGTGGTAAGCCATGTTAAACAAGTGAATCACAGCCATGTATTTTAGGTTTAGGCACTGACAGTTTACTAGTGGTCCAAAAGCAAGTTCCAGGAGTATGGAAAATTATTCTTTCCTAAGTTGTCTGGTTATAAAACAGCAGCACAATGGTGTTGGTACAATGACAGGAAATGATATGTGGATGGAAAGAGCAATCTTTTCTTTCCCTCTTCTTAATTGCCACACTCCTTTTTTCCCTTGTTTAATTTTTCACTTAATACATGAAACAGGATTCGCATCACCAATGAATCAAGATGGTGGGTTGGAAGGGGTTCAATGAGGGATATGACTTCCCCATTTTCTTGAAAAGTGGTCATTTATCATACTAAACATACCTGTGAGTGTGGCAAATGCCAGTCAGAAGTCAATGTTTGACCCACATATTGAAAGTAAACTCCCAAACTTGTGTGATTTGTAGGTTTTGATCATTATGCAAAGTGGCTTTTGTAGAGAGGTTTATCTTTGTCTTGTAGCTGTATGAAACGGTTTCATTCATAACTCACAATTGAAGAAACTGATTTATTGCTGATTTTTCTTGCTACTAAGGATCGGGCCAATCAGTTGTTTAAACAAGTTCATGAACAAAAAAGTTTAAAAGGAAGGAGTAATGATGCCATTGCTTCTGCTTGTTTGTACATTGCTTGTCGACAAGAGGGTGTTCCTCGGACATTTAAAGGTAACCACAATCATCTGTATGTATCGGGCAGTATTTTCTTCCTGCACTATCAATACAATCCCAGCAAAAAATTCATGAGGTGTAAAGTATTACCTTAGGGATATTGATTGCTTTAACAATTTATTGTCAGAATTAAATGTATAGAACTTTAACAGGATTTCGTTTCCTAGTGATAGCAGTCTAAATAAAAAAGAATTTTTGTTAACTTTCCAAATGTAAAGTACTGGTTCATTAGTGTCTCCACAAAAATTGCTCATCAGATCCATCAACAGTTGTTCATCTGTAATCGCCTATTTGTATTCCACAGAAATTTGCGCTATCAGCAAAATTTCAAAAAAGGAAATTGGCCGTTGTTTCAAACTGATACTAAAGGCCCTGGAGACAAGTGTGGACCTCATAACAACAGCAGATTTCATGGTAAGTTGAAACACCCAGAAAGAGTCCTCTTTCTTCCTTCCATAAGCTTTTTTTCGGCTTCAAATATCAAGTTTTGCTTTCCGTGTCGTGCACTTTTCGCCGAGGAAAAGAAAAACGTTCTTGTGACCCTGGACAGTCTGGACTTCCAGGGGATAAGAAAGGAGGGCGAGGTCCCAGTGAATGGAAATATGTCTGAATCACTCCACCTTCAGCGAACACTGCCTCTCCTATCCAAGGCCGTGTTTTTTTTACTCATAACCCTGACCTAGGAAAAGGAAAAAATGTTTGGTAAAAACTGCTTTAGGGAAAAATTATTTAACGAACGTTGACTTACCTACCTAAAGAAACTGGGTTCTTCTCAGGATTTCCTAGCCTTTTTACCTTACGCGCCTTCTGTTATCCCCGTTTTCCCGTTTTGCGAGAAATGTGTAAGACTAGACACGTGTTGACAGAGCAGCGTTACAGTTATCCTTTCAAGACTTCTCTTCCTTTTCTCTCTCTTTCTCATACTTGAATGCGAAAGGCCTCCTCTCCGTTAAGTGCAAGCTCACTGATCAGCCAATCAGCGTGCTCCTTCTGTCTATACTCACACAACCAATCACTCGTTGCACGTCTTTAGGAAATTAACTTTTCTCGGCTTGTGATCTTTTTTAGTCGAGGTTTTGTTCCAATCTTGGTCTTCCACCCGACGTACAAAAGGCTGCTACACATATCGCACGGAAGGCGGTTGACTTAGATCTAGTGCCGGGGTGAGTTTTTTACCTCATTTAGTATCACTGACTCAACGTTCGTTTATGATACAGATTGATGTTGGTAGGGAAAAATGTAATCTATTTGCGCAGAATTATTTACTATGCTGTATAAGTCTTAACGAGTGACAGAAGAGAGTATCGTAATGGGAAGTGAATTTACAAGATAATTTGTAGGGCTGGAAGGCTAAGGCTAGTTGAGGTCGGGTTGAATTCAACGATCTTCCTTTTCTTTGTGGTTTGCTGAGAATGGCTATATAAGAAGTGATACAGTCTGCACGGTTCAACCAGGTTTTACTCGTCAATTTTCTCTTTTATTTTTAGAAAACCCTGAAATGGTAACGGCACCGTTACTTTTTTCTTTTACCGATTATTTTTATCTTCTTTTATTTCCCGTTAGTCGAAGTCCCATTTCGGTGGCGGCTGCTGCAATTTACATGGCGTCTCAAGCATCGAAGGAAAAGAGATCACAGAAAGGTTTAAATGCTCAATTTGTTCTTAATACCTTTTTATGACATCTTTCTGGATTAAGCTGCACGAAAGTGTGACGAAATTTAAGGGTAATCTGCTATCTGCAAGCATCTTAAATACAGAGGAGTGACATGAACTTCACGGAGAAAACCAAGGGCGAAGTAGAGGGAAAGAACGTACCTCAAGGAACCAATCAGAATTCAAAGTAAATATACATAACCAGTGGCAAAAGCGCGGGAAAATGTCGCTAGTGGACCGAGTTGTCCAGGTCTTGTGCATGGTTGATCAAGGGAGAAGTGCGAGTTTTCTAGATCGGTGACAAAGACATCCATTCGAAAATTCTTCTAACATGCAATGTCGGTTGTTAGTCATTTGATTCGCGCTAAATGTAAGTGACAAAGGCATTGGCTCAGACATGATGGCGATTACAAAACATGACTAAGTTTGTGGTTTTTTTTTTAGAAATCGGCGACATCGCTGGTGTAGCAGACGTTACAATTCGTCAATCGTACAGACTTATCTATCTACGTGCAGCAGAACTTTTTCCAAGTGATTTCCAGTTTGCTACTCCTGTGGACAAACTTCCGAACCTTTGATCTTTGAGACCTCTTTCCTCCATTTTCGATGTTTATATTTTATTTATTTTAAGCAGTAATTCTCTGGAGTGTTAAAGAAACACACATTTTGTAAAATTTTGTCCATTCCTCTCTTGAAAAGTTCAATAAATCAACTGAAAAAATAGCTCGTAAGAAATGACTGGGTATTGTACGTAGCGGTTGCTTTAGGTTACTAAAAGTAGCCTCAGGCAAGGCTTGTTAAAACCTGAGCGATAGTTTCAGTAAAGGAAGTACTTGTTGCCAAAGAAAATGGCGAAAAATTTCGCCTGTTCTCGCATAATTTGTTTTAGTAATTGATAGAGAATCAGTTTCAGCGTCAACTATATATGTATGTTTACGAGTACTGAGTTTCGACTAAACTAATAAAAAATTTCGAAGTTTTAGAATCGAATGGGGTCAGCACCAAATAAATTTGTTCGTTTAGTTAGCTATACTTGGAATTTGTAAACTTTTCACATTTTTGTTCATGCTCGTAAGGCTGTTTTGGATGATCCGCTTTGAAATTGAAAATGAGAACCCGTTTTGCATTGTACAAATAAACAGGGTCTATAGACGATAATCAATATTCGCAGAGATGTCTTTTGTATTTACTTTTTAGATATATTATAAATTTTAAAATACATTGCAAGTAAAACTTGTGGAAAATAGATGTAGTGCTCTTGTAGGGTAGGGTATAAATACCTTCGTTTTCCCTGGAATTACAGTCAAACCTCTATTATGAGAAGTGGCCTTCACGAAATGACCATTTTTTTTTTTTTTGGAATTTTTTTTATTTTCTTGGCATTTTACAAAACATTACTCTACTTACAGTACACTACAGGACTCAGTTACAGTACGTTGCTTACAATAGTTTACTGAGAACACACCACAAACAAAGTATAGTTTACAATAAACTTGATTACGGCAGATGACTTACTATCAATTACTTCCACTATGTACACGATACTCTATGTCACGTTTACGGATACGAACTCCAATCTCTTTTACTTATGTAAATCTTCCGTTTTTAGCACAAAGACACTAAGAAACTTTCAATGACTTTGTATTAAGTGTATTAGCGCGCTTTGTTTGATTTCTATTCCGTGGCTAGCGAATATCCGCTCGAAGCTAGCTACACAAAGCTCTGTTCACTTCTATTTCCCCTACGTCAAAGTGTAAGATCTAAATTCGCCTTCTATTAGCAAGTAGTTCAGTTGCGAGGAGTCATTGTAGCGAAAGCATTTCGGAGCCGAACGGAGTTTAGGAGTTTCTACCCCGGAGTCAAGATCCGATGTAAGTTACGCTTGTAATATTCCTCATTTTTATCCTTTCTAGTTTCGTAGTCTTTCGGTTTTCCTTATATCGAACCTTCATGTATCCGTTCTATAGTTTTTACCGCCTGTGCTGTACAAAGACTGCCAGCTTAGTGAATAAAGAGTTTGATGCTGCTACTTGTCTAAAGTTCATCACTGTGGTTATACTGGCGAACTCCGATACACAACACCACGTGTCTGCGGCATCGGGAACGCGACACTCTACATTTATATTACGTAACGACATATTACACTCCTTTCAATATGTTACATAAATTACTTACAGTACCTTAATAAATGACCATATGACCTCTTAGAGAGATTGACCAGTAAACAGAGGTTGGCTAAAGTTCAAGTGCATAACGAGGTAAAGGGAGTCAAAATACAAAACTGAATTGGCAACACAACTTTCATCTTATTGCTAACAGCTAAAATAAACATTTTAAGACATGAATTGAGGGTCGTACAAAGAAAACTGATCGGAGAAATAATGATTTAAAAATATTTACGTATCCTACGATTCCAATAGGCGTGTCAGGTTCTTTTGTGATTGAGTGGAATGGGAATCTGTTTGTGTGTTTTGGACATGTATAGTGGAATGGTCTGTAATTATTTTATTGACTCTTTGAATTGAGAAAAAGACAGTATATGGGCAAAAAACTGGTACGAAAATGAGTGAGTTGTAAGGTGCCTGTGGAAACAAGAATATCATGCACCCGATTCACCTGTTGAGAACACGAAAATGAATCTGCTATTCGAGTAGTTCTCTTTCAAAGAAAATCTTGAGGTTTTCACGAACTGAAAGAAAAATTTACGGGTCACATGTATTTCAGGAGCTAATCACGCCTCACTCACGAATTTGCCACCCTTGTCTAACTTGTCCACGGTTCACATGCAGTACAAAGTGTAAAGAAACATTGTTCCGGCGTGAATGGGAACATACTCGTCAGCAATCTCCAAAGTCTTTTCCATAACCCGTATATACTCCTACACAGTAAAAGAAGTTAGTTATCGGTTGAATAGTTCACAGACCTCTGCACATCTACATCTACAACTATTTTAATTTAATTTAATAATAAGTTCTTTTCTAGCGCATTAAAATTGAAAATTTCAATAAAAATCCTATACGTGCAATATAATACTCTTCAACGCTATTACACATCATCTTGGTTTCTAGTAGAAGCCCCAAGAATCAACGATTTTTATCAAGAGAAAAGGGATGATCATATGCTATAACTGTGGTCGGTAAACTGTAACTGTGTAGCTGCGGTGATTATCAGTTTTTAAAGAGTGTGGACTGAGATTTTGAGGTTGATGGTGCTTGACTTCCTAGAGATTATTGTGTCGTTAATTTTTTTAGGCGCACAACTTCATCCCAGACAGATGGTGCTTGCAACCAATACGGAAAACTCTAAGTAGTAGGAAATCCTTCCAACTTATTTTCTTTCTTTTTCCTACTCACTTACCCTATTCGCACAACCTCCCAATGGTCACTCTCGTGCGCAGATGCAGAACCCAGGCCTTTACAGGACAACTGGAGCATCGAAACAGCCGAGTACTATCTACTATGCCTTCTTCGCCACTATCTGACCCGCCTCGTTTCATTATGTTTCTCTACAAATCGAAATTGCTTTCGTTTACAGGGATGGAGAGTTAGATGGTGCTCTCATCGTCGAACATTCGTCATTTCATTCATCCTTGACTGGCTGACATCATTAACTTCGCTTGCTACCAATGGTATGCAACACTCGTTAGGTCATAGTAATATTCTGAATTCAATCTGTTAGCTGTTAACCACTAATTGAGGACACTTTCCAAAATTCTAAGGCAAGATTTCAGTGTAACCTCATACTTCATCATCTTATAGTTATTTAGTAAGAGAAAACGATGGTAAAAATTACAGTTGACCCTTGATACAACTGCCTTGTTTTGGTAAAGTGTACGTGGTGTTACCCGCCAATCTTTCCGTGCCCCGCGTCACATTTTCTAAATGTAATGGTTCCTCGGTTTTTAATTGGGATCTTACGAAAAAGTCTGTCACGTTCTTGACAAGGTATTAGTCAAAATTTTGGCACCTCAGTGAACAGTTATGTGCTTTTATAGTAAGATCAAGGTGGAAGACCACCATAGACCACTTTCATAAATGGCTGCCGTATAAGTACTCTTTTGTTTAGATTTAAATTAGCCCTTCTGGCCTCGCTTGAGATAATGTATTCCTTTGAATTTTGTACTGGAGAACGAGGCCAGTAGGGCTAATTTAAATTTAAACAAAAGAATATTAATCCGGCAGCCATTTATGAAATTGGTTTATAGTTAATTAGAAGGAAAGAGGAAAGTAAACATCGTCGCGAGGACTAATCTAATGATAAGGACTGCTGACACAATCAAATGGCTTTACTGTCCTACAAACAAATACCTACTGGTCCCACAGAGAACTTATGACCCAAAGAGGTCATAAAGGTTGCTAAGGTCAAATTCAGTTGTGATGACAAGTATTCAACCTGTCTTTAGTAACATCATTGCTGATTGTTATCAAAATTCACAAGCCTACACTGAGCATTTGTAGCACAGCTACTGAGAACAAAATACTTTTTGGACCCAGCATATGACAATTTAAATCAAATGCAACCATACAACAGTCTCCATGAATGCAATGATGGCATCAGTCAATATGGTCAGCTGAGAAGGCAGATACTCAAAAGATTGGGTATCCTATTTTCCTTTCCATATATGGTGTCCAGAGCGAGTGCTTTTATTATTTTATCCGGAGATACTGCTTGGTATATATCTTGATGAATTTTTGTGTGACACTCCTTCAGACAACTTCTCCAATTTCCCATCCCAAGCCTCTAATGACTCTGCTAGTCTGTGCTCCACATGCCAGCTACACAAGGTACTTCATATAAAATCACTGTGATTACAAGGGTTCCCTTAACAGCAGATTATACAAGCAAGACAAGTTTCCTTAATTAATGTTGAATATACAAAATGTTCATTTTTTTTTTACATTTATTGAAGTACAAAATTATGTGCTGATAAATATCAAACATAGTTTATATTATGTAGAATGAGTATAAGGGCCATTCTGCACTGGCAAAAAAAATTGTTTACTGAGACAAATTTTCTGTCAGCACCAACATTTTACAAGTGCAGATGTTTTGTTACGACTTGACAAATTTTGGGGAATGTGGACAAATCCTCAAATGTACGGCTGACAAAATTTGCCTTGGATAAAAACTGGACAAAATTCATTATATGAACAAAACCATGATAAACTTGTTGATTGTTTGTCATAAGAGCCACGACAAGTGTGTAATTGAACTGTAATCAGTTTAATAGGAAGGCAATAGTTGTCAATTTGTTGCAAACTTGGAGATGCTTAAACTTCAAAACAACAAAGGATGAATCCTGGAAATTGAAGTTGGATTCCATATGCTGCTCATTGGAATTTGTCCTTTGGTTTTGTCAGGACAATTTTAGTTTTGTCTTCTAGTGTGGAAAGGCCCTAAATGAGATAATTTTGGTAAATATAAGGATTTGTACTAGATAATACCAGTAAGTTTGGATAATATTTAACTATGAAATTACATACACCCATGGGCACCCTTCTATTGTAACACAACAACAGTTAATTGCAGAGCAACAGAATATTACAACATCAATCTATAACAAATTTAAAATTCCAGTATCTTCCAGCATTTTACAGCCTTGGGGTCCAGCTGATCTTTTTCCTCATGGGTCTACTGTGTATTTAGCACTCAGTTAGACCTTACAACTGCATGGTCAATTTGCACACATTTAAGCTCTCCAGATGTGATTGTTTTGAGTGAAGAGAGTTTGAAAGAAATTATTTGATGAATGATCCATAGGACAGGAATATGATTGAAGGTGAGGTAGCTGTGAAATTTCCTAGTGAGTAATAAGCTTGTCTGACTTGTCCAATCCCATGTTTGTCAACATGTTATGACTATTGGATAATCACAGGATTTCATTACATTTTACTACATTCACTTAAGATTTTCTCATGCTTGTTACAGAATGCAAATTAAAGAATAGAAGTACCAGCTATCAAGAATCCAATGTTGCTTTATTCAATATCTTCTTATGTTGTTGTTTCAACTTGAATATGTATAAATACTAGCATAAGTAGGAGTAGAAGTAGTTTGAAACTAAAAACAGAGAAAGAAGTTAACTAACATAAACAAGTTACAAACATGAAAAAATGATACAAATAAAGGGAAACAGCAAACATACTTACATTGATAATGCTTGATATTAAATCTGCAGCGGTGAATGACTGGAATACTTTTAAAACAGAGAACTGTGACAAGTGTGACTGTGGATAAACTGACTTTAAAAAGGGATTATGCAAAGAAGAAACTGGCTTTAAATACAAAAGAACAGTGAAATAATGTGGGGTATTAGAAACATGGAAAAAACTTTTAACTGGCAAAGAAAATGCTAACAAAAAAACACTAACAAGGAGGTATGAAAAAATAAAGGATGAAAGAAATGAATATGAGTTATGCAAAAAATAATTAGTAAGCACTTAGATCTTATATTGTGGTTCAAGTTTTTCCCTCTTTATAACATTTTCGATTCCTTTTTTTAAATTTTATTCTAATCGAAGCTATCTTATAATTGGCAAAAAGTAAAATCCTGAAAAAGTCTTAACCACAACGTTATCACTGATCAACTATAGTATACAAATACTTATACTAAAATTTGTCCTCAAAAATTGTTTCTTAGAGGTTCCCCTAGACTTTTTACATGAAGTGTGATCAGGTGCTCTTTTTTCTTGGTGAATCATGATTTAAATTTTTTTGATTTGTGAATTGTGATTTAAGATTCTAAAATCTTTTCATGTTTATGTGAAAAAAATTTTATTTAAACAAACCATGAATGAAGAGCTGAATTGGAAGTGATTTGTAAACCATTTAGTTAAGCGTGATGTGATTTTGCAGAGTCAAACTTGGAAGATTAACAGCTTTGTAAACAGGTCAGATAGAGTAAAGTATTGATTTGTGAATTTGAAACACACTGTCTTGAATTTCATGTGAATGTGAAATAGTTTTGGATGTTATTTTTGAGTGATAAGGCCAAGTATTTTAATGTGACTAAGTTTTAAAAAAAGGTCTAGGGAACCCTCTTTTTAGTCTTCCATCTACCGTTACCTTTGATGTCCCACTCTCCTGTTTATGTACTATTTCCATGCTTTTTTTTTCTTTTTTATCATTGTGGACTAATGTTAACCCACCACTATCTTTCCTGTACTTAAACAGAGTCTTCTTAGTAAATACAAAAATGTGAAGTTTTTCTATTTGTGATGGGTTTCCTGTTAATGAATTATGTTGATACAACAAGTCGTCAATCTGTGTACCATTTAGCAGTAGGCTTAGATTGTATTTTTTTTGAAGGTACTATCTTTCTGTGTTGATTTAAATAAAAGCACTTAGAGTAGGGAGATGTTATCTTGTTGTAAGTGGTTTCCTTCCCTCAATATGTTGTCTATATCATTTTCTGAAATATGAAAAAAATATATTAAGATTTATTATAAGATCAGATATAAAGTAAATTTGTCCTATTTTTCTGACATTTTTAGCTTTCCCTAAATGTAGGTTTTTTTTTAAAAAAAAAATCTTTGACAGTAACTACCACTGCAGATCTGAGTCTGTCAGAGTGGCCACTATCTTTACTTTGATGTCAATGCAAAAAACAGCACAGGATTTGTTGTCATAAAAAAATCACGACTTTGTCTTGATATTGATGCAAATAATGCTCATTTCAAAACTCTGGTCCGAATAGTTTTGAATCTTGGTATAAATTGTTCAAGTTTTATTTAGAAACTGTAGATTGCATTCCCTAATTCTCAGTTGGGATCTTGCCTAATCCACCAAACTTCTGATGTAAATTGTCATTTTAAGGACAGGTAATGGTTTAATAATTATCCTGAAGTAAGCTATAATCTTACCAACAAAGAATTGTTTGAGCTCGTTTATGACATCAAAGCGTTTGATGTTTGCCAGGGCTCCCAGGAAAAACTTCATGGTAAGGTCTGGTTCCCTAGCAACAATGTGTTTCATCAATAGTTTTGTAGGGCTTGGTGGGCCTTCTTCCCTTAGACTGTTTAACTCTAGTCTATTCATCCCCAGCTTGCAACCAAACTGCATCCAAGCTCTTTCCTCAATGTCTAAAAGAGCTGTCAATTTTCCCACAACATCTAGCTCATCCAGTAAGGTCTTAATGGTACTACTTGGATCTACAGTTAAAGCAAATATCTATTATAATTATTCATGGTAGATCACAAATGTGGATCTTCAAGAATGCACTTAAGGAAATTTCCTTTTTCTAGTAAACCCCCACTCCAATATAACCAATGAACTGAATTTTTTCTTAACAGTTAGGTTTGTACGTATGATGCACGATCCTTGCAGTAGATAGCGCTATTTAAGCAATAGTGAAAAGCAGACCTGAAAAAAATCAGGCCACCATACGTATCTACTACCACAGTTCAAAATATATGAACTTCATATATTTCGAATCATTGTATTTGAGTTAGGTTTGTGTTTATTCAGTAAGCTATTGCTTAATGACAGAAAATTAAGTTAGAATGACAATTTTTCTAACATTTCTCTTACTTGTAGCTCATATAAAAAATATTACACTTGTCAGACTGAGGAACTTAAAGAATCTCCTTAAATTTGACCAACAGGCAGGTTGGTTATACAACTACATGTAATCCTTCACTTATCCAGTGTGTGTTACTGTCAGTCAAGATGAAGTCTTTCTAGGAACAGCGTCTTATTTCCAGCATGTACGTTGGTATACTATCTGCTCTGCTTTTTGAACTCTGAGCAATCACCTCCATTTTTTAAACTGAATTGTAATGTGACCAGGCTCACAATTGTGCATGACATTGCAATATTTTTTGTTGTAATTTTAGAATTACATCTTCAGAAACTATTTCCTATGATAATCAAATTATCATACACACAGGATTTGCATCATAAATTTCCTTTAAGTTGCACCATCACACCTAACTATTACCTATGATAATCAAATTATCACACACACACACAGGATTTGCATCATAAATTTCCTTTAACTTGCACCATCACACTTAACTATTTCCTATGATAACCAAATCATCCTAAACACAGGATTTGCTGCTAAATTTCCTTTAGAATGATTGCACCTAACTTCCAAAATTTTAAAGAATTTCCTGCTATTTTTCGATTCCTCATAAAAGAAGTACAGTTAGTTTAACTCAGTAGTTCAGAGTGTCAAGACCAGCACTTACAAGCCCAGAACCTCTTGGTCACAAAAAAAGTAAACTCCAGTACATGTAACCTCAAGTTAGTGCCCTATTTTACTGAGGATTTGGTATGTCACATTTGACCTATTATTGTATGTCTTACAGTTTGAGTTCAAGAATAATATGGTTCATGTGTACTTATCTCAATCCAATTGTTTAGTCTTTGCTTGAATCCTTATATTAGTTGATTCATGTTCAAAATGTGTCAAGATTGCATTCAGCTTTCAGAACATTGCATTTATCTGTATACTTGACTTAAAGTTCATTGGTGAAATCAGATATTTCACTACAGTCTTCATTGTTTAGTTCATCAGTAATGACAGATGTTGTCCTATCACAGAAAGAGATTTTGCCAGTCTTCCTAGTTTTTAAGTCAAAGGGAAATATGAAATTGTGATTGAAATTAGTCTTATCTAATGTTATGTTGTTTTTAGCTATTGTTTTATCAGTATTGACTTGTTTTCAGTCATTTCATGTATAATTCTAAGAATAGCCCACCATTCAATAGTTCTATATTTGGTTAATAGGATTAAGTCTTTTAAATGTCACACAATGATTACTGTTCTGTCATGCAATGCTTTAAAATTGTCGTGTTAGTGCCTTGCTATTGTATGACAATGGATTATATTTTTTACTAATTGTTTTATTTCATTATTTTGAATTATTGATTTGCTATTTGTCATTTATTATTTCTTTTAGCTTGCAATCACCCTTTCTTTTAATCAGTATTACTTCTTTTGTACTTTCCTGTATAAATAAATTTTATTGTGGCTACAAGTCTGTCTCGTTGTTCAAATAACAACATCAGAACCTGCCTCCGTCACAGTAAGCACCTCAGGATGTCAATATACCATAACTGTTTTGAGTTTTCTCTGACTTTTTTCTCCAGTATTGTTAGCAGAGGAGATTCATACTGTTTTAAATAGAACCTAAGGCAAGTGCTTAACCAAAAGTGATTCACCAAAAAAACCCTGAAAAATAGAAGAAGGAATTAAATGAATTAGCTGTCTTATCAAATGTTGAATCTTACTTCCTTCCTTCACATAAGATATAGAGTGAGAATTATGTTTAGATTTCGTTCTTAAATTACCTAGTAAATCATTCAGCACATTGCCTATGCCTGGTATCCACTTTTCCAATTCTTTCAGAACCATTTGCATTTCTGTTAATGGAAGCTGTGGCCTCAGTGTCTCGATCTTTTCTAAGATTGCCTGGCTAGGGCTAAATTCAGAGGGATCCTTAAAGCTTTTGAGTCTTTCACCATTGATACCTATCTTCAGACCTAAGTGATACCAGTGACTGACAGAACGCATGTCATCGAGGTTTAAACAAACATTCCACAGTGTTTCAGGATGTTTATCGCAAAGGTCATTCACATTGGCATCATCTGGAAAACAATTGTGAAAATAATTACAAAGAATCCCCATTTTAGCATAAAATGGTTTATATCAGGAGAGGACAAGAAGAGTTGTAACAGCTCCTGGTTTCAGTCCCTCGTGTACAAAAATAAGCACACCAAAACATATGGGTGAATTTAAAAAGTACAGTACATGGTCATTGTGCTTCAAGGGTGCAAGAAATTATGTTGTTCATACCAAGCAAATCCTGATTGTTTGCCAGCTCATCGTGAACATCTTTTCTTGAAATTTCCAGGAGGTATTGTTTCAGGATTCCAACTGTAACTGACTTCCCAGATTGGCACAAGTATTCAAACATAGCTTCACTTGGGCTCAGATGAGCAAAGCTCCCACACTGCTTTTTTACTTTAACGTCTACTTTACATTGGTCTGCAAGATGCTCCCAACGTTGTGCGAAGAGTGGAGCACCTCTGAACTTTGGATAGATTGATCTATCCAAATAGAGGGAGAGCACATCCATGATGAGTTCTTTTCTGACGATTAATTTTTCCACGTATGAACCTGAAGATGACGTTGAGAAAGAATTAAGGGTATTCCTACCTTGAATTCAACAAAAACAAGACAAAACAAAACAAAACAAAAATACCCCGAAAGGACATGTTGTTACTGTTTTAACATGTTACAGGGACATTTGAGTTGGTGTAGTCCTGCTAACTTCAAATCTGTTTTTCTGAAATATGCTTTTAATTCAAACAGAGTTAATTATTTTTATCAAATGAATGTATTATACTGATGAAAGTCCACTGAAAGATCTTTAGAAAATCTTGATGTCTTTTGAGTCTCACTTTGTGAGATTGCTCAAGAGCTCCTAAAAAGTCTGGAGAGATGGCAATGAATGTCATAAGTTGAATTACATAATTATAGAAAGTGTTTCAATCACTGTTTGATCCAGCAGTTGTTGTTTACATGAGATGATAAACAATTATTGGATGAGGTTTTTGTGATATCCGGAATAAGCAAGGTCGAGGTAAGTGTTATCAGCCAAAACTGAAGGCTGAGGCTGATAATTCTAACCGAGACCTTGATTATTCTGGATATTACAAAAACCTCATCCAATAATTGTTTTATTATACATTGTTTTAAGAAAATGATGCCAAATGCATTATTGCAGCGAACACAGTTTATTTCCGAACACTTAAAAATGTACAACTGTGTGGTAAACAAATTTTCACTTGGGCTGATTCCTTTTTGTCGTGTGGCTCCTGGATATTTTCCTCTTTAAGGAATTCGTAGAACAGTTCCTTCCCCACTTTTGTCGATCTTTTAGTATTTTCCGAATCTTTATCTTCAAGTAATTTCTCAATTTCTTGCTGGGTCGATGAAGCAAATCGAGAAGCCATTCTTACTTTGCGGTCCGTGAACTCGACATTTCTCCATCGGAAATCATGCATTGCACACGCAACCTACAGATTATTCACTAATCTGTAGGTATAGATTAGTGAATAATCTGTAGGTTGCGCTGTTTCCCAGAACATAACTCTGCCCAGAATTAACCGTGAGCATTTAGCCAATGAGAAGACAGATGGTGACTACAATGTAAAATAATTAGATTAATCAGCCAATAAACTTTGCTTGTTGTCATAGCTTGAGTTTCACATCAGATTTACCATGATCATAGCAATATTCAGAGTCATGCAGCTCAAAACTTTGTTACATTGGAATGCGATATTTATGCAACCATGCTAAGTATAAACGGAGTAAAGCATTTTTTAAATAAAAACTTTTGTGTTAATGGTGAAAATCAATTGAAAGAACTTGAGTAGGGCCAGTGCTTTTTTTTTAGTTATTTGTGTCAGATTGCTCTAAAATTTTCTGAAAAGGCTACGTCTGGCTTACTTACACACCCACTATAGTTACTGGCTTTTTAGATGCCAGTAACCCCAAAAAGGATTTTTTAGCATGTGTGTTTTTATCCATGTCTGATGGTCTCCTTTGCAGCCATTCTTTGGGTTCATAATGTGATGTATAACCCTTGTAGGAGTGTCCTAAAGAATAGCTGCAAAATAGACTACATGTCTGAATGGTTCTCAGCAATTGAAGATTACCTGCATTGACATGTTCCTTCCCTTTGGAGACCTCATCAGGTCGCATTGGTGCAATTCTATCCATCCTATGTTGGGAATTGCTTTGTCTTTCTCGAAGAGTTGGTTTGTGCTCAGGGGAGGTGGGATCTGCAACTGTCTTGGGATAAGGAGAATCTAGATTGCAGACAACAAGAATGTAGTGCAGTCACTAACATATTAATATCACCAGACCAAGTCTTAAATTGAATAAAAAGGAAGAACTAACAGAATTACCTCTGGATATGAAATGAACTTTTTCAGGCCAATCGTTAAATTCCCTTTTTCCAAAGCTTATGTTCGTCATGGTACTTCAAACAATGATTGTTTCAAATTTATAGATATAGGGAGGTAATTAAGACAGCTTTCCTTGTCGCGCACTTTTCGCCGAAGAAAAAAAAAAACCTTGTGAGCCTGGACAGACTAGACTTCCAGGGGATAATAAAGGAAGGCGAGGTCCCAGTGAAATGAAATATGCCAGAGCCACCCTACCCTCAGCGACCACTGCCTCTCCTATCAAAGGCCATGTGTTAACCCTCTTACCCCACCCCTAAGAGTTACCTCCTATCAAAGGCCATGTGTTTTATACTCATAACCCTGACCTGGGAAATGGAAGAAAATAATGTCTGGTAAAAACTGCCTCAGGGCAAAATTATTTAACGAACGTTGACTCACCTACCCGATGAAACTGGCAGGGTTCTCAGTTAGGATTTCCTAGCCTTCTTTTTAGTTTACGCGCCTTCTCTTATCCCCGTTTTCCCGCTTTTTGAAAAATGTGTGAGACTGAAGACGTATTGACAGAGCAGCGTTACAGTTATCCTGTGAAAACATCTCTTCCTTTTATCTCTCTCATCCTAGAATGAGAAAGACCTCCACTCCGTTAAGTGCGAGCTCACTGATCAGCCAGTCAGCGTGCTCCTGTTTACACTCACATAAAAATCATTAAACAATCAATCGTTACACGTCTACAGTAAATTAACTTTTCTCGGCTTATGATCTTTTTAGTCGAGGTTTTGTTCCAATCTTGGTCTTCCACCTCACGTACAAAAGGCTGCCACACATCGCACGGAAGGCGGTTGACTTAGATCTGGTGCCGGGTAAGTTTTTTTAGTTCATTCAGTATCATTAACTCAACGTTCGTTTATGATACTGGTGTTGGTGGAAAAAAATGTAAGGTATTTGCGCAGAATTATTTACTATGCGGTATGTCTTTGCGAGTGACAGAAGAGAGTATCGTAATGGGAAATGAATTCACAAGATAATTTTTAGGGTTGGAAGGTTAAGGTTAATCGAGTTCGGGTTGAATTCAACCGACGATCTTCCTTTTCTTTGTGGTTTGCTGAGAATGGCTATATAAGAAGTGATACGGTCTGCACAGTTAAACCAGGTTTTATTCGTTAATTTACTCTTTTATTTTTAGAAAACCCTAAAATGGTTATGGGATCGTAATTTTTTTCTTTTACCAATTATTTTAATGTTCTTTTATTTCTCGTTAGTCGAAGTCCCATTTCAGTTGCGGCTGCTGCAATTTACATGGCGTCTCAAGCATCGGACGAAAAGAGGTCACAGAAAGGTTTAAATGCTTTACTTAATCTTATTACACGACTCGGGCAGTCAGAGGGCCAATAACTAAAYTCAACCAA